AGAGGCCACTCCAGGTCACCAGGAGGAGCCCGGACGACACAGGAGCCCCGGTGCCCTCTGGGTAGGCGCACTGTGCACATCCACGCGTGAGTGTCCATGAGCCTCTGGAACCCTCCGTGTCAGTCTCTCTGTAGGGACCAAGGGCTGGCCACCCCGAGACAAGCCACAGTAAAATGTAGGCTATTCTAAGATAAAATCAATCAAGGCCCAAAGGACTCAGGAAGAAATTTTGAACTGTCACCCCCCCCACACACACACACACACAATCCTTAAAAGGAATTTCTCTAAAGAACCTGCACCAGGAAGAGCCTTATTGGCAGATTCTTTTTTACCTTAAGAAACTTCTCTGTGCATTAGGGCACCTCTCACCTCCCTCGAAGGGCCATCCTCCCTCCAGTGTCCCCAGGCCCCTATCCCCTCCTTAGCGCAGGATGTCACATGCAACTCACTTCCTCCAACTGTCTGTGAAATCTCACGTGGATTTCCCATATGTACCAAACTAAATTTTATTTTCTGTTAATCTGCCTCTTGTCAATTTAATTCTTAGTCTTGGACAGAGGGCAATTTCCTTCCTTCCCAACACCTCTTAGAGTGTAGGCAGATGACCTTGACCACACAACCTGTTGGCTTGTATTTCATCACCAGGTAACTTCACTCAATTCCCAATCTTCTCTTCCTCATTGATTTCAGCTCCATTCAAGCCAGAACTGAAGGCCTGCCTAAGCACAGAGCTCCAGGACCTCCTAAAACCTGGAGAGTTCCCACCTGCTTTCCCGTGTTTTGCTAACAGAGCCATTCCTCTTGGTGAAAACCCAGAAACAGGTCACATTGGCCATGCTTTCCCTGCCTGATGTCACTGGGGTCACCCCACCCTCAAGTCATGATGGCATGATGACTCTGGAAACACGGCTGAACCTCAGACCCTCTAACTTGGTCTAAAACCCAGGGGGAGGGGCAAAGCTCAAGGTCACAAGACCCACACTAAGCCTCAAACAACAAAAACAAGCCCAAAACCAGTAACAATCGCCAGTATTTATGGCCTATATCCTAGCGAGTGGGTGTTGCTCTGGGGGTTACACCCATTATTGTTACCCCATTTTACAGATGAGGAAGCTGAGGGAGAGAGGCCTGCACGAAGACGACAGTCCAGGAATGTGCAGAAATATGCTTACAGGTGGGTGCCGTGTTGATTCGTGCAGAACTGGAGAGCTATGAACTTCCGGCCCAGAGGGTCCCACCCCTTTGGAGAGGACAGAGGGCACCCTATGCCTTGCCTCCCCTTCTCCACCGCATGCACACACAGACTGGGGCACTGAGGTCTCAAGGCTGTTCTTCTTGTGAGTCTTCTGCTCCTCTTGTCAGCTAGTGGCCGACCCGGGCGCCTTCTGGCTCAGCAGACAAATGTGACAAACAGGCAGAACCCCCTTTCAGGGGTCTCTTCTCTGAAAGCTGGGCCCCAGTACAGGAGGCAGGATTGGGAAGGGGAGGCCCCCAGGGCCCAGACATGGAGCCACGGCCAGGCCCCACCTCCCAAGACCCTGTGTGCAGGTGGCCAGCACAGTGGGGGGAAATTAGGCCCCTTCCCCCATGTTCCAGTGCCCTGCTGGCCAGCCCGTGTGGCCCTGGGGAGAGGGAGGAGGCGGGAGGAACGGGCACTTGGCATGAGATTTATTTAGACAGAGAGCAGATTCACATCCCCGAGTTTTTATTAAAAGTTCATTTTTTCACGGATCATCCAACAGCATGGCTCTAGACTAGAAGCGATGAGGAGCTTAGGTGAGTCCTCATTCAATCAGACCAATCAGAAAAGTCAGCCCGGATACTTCAATATAGATTGGTTATTAAGCATGACTAAAGAATTACTATTAGGTGGGATATATGGGTGCCTGGGTGGCTCAGTCGGTTTAGTGGCCAATTCTTGATCTTAGCTCAGGTCTTAATCTCAGGGTTGTGAGTTCAAGCCCCGCATTGGACTCCATACTGAACGTGGAGCCTACTTTAAAATAAAATAAAATAATAAAATTAAAATTAAATAGAACGATAAAATTAAATTAAAATAAATATAAAATAATAAAACAAAATAAATATAAAATGAAATGAAATAAAATAAAATAAAACAAAATAAAATTTGTTGGGTGGGATAACAATATTGTGGCTGTAATACAGTGTGCTTTCCCAGAAGCGCACAATTTAGGGTAAAATGTCATATCAGTGACTTACTTCAGCAAAATTATTCAGTAAAGAATGGTAATATATGGAGTTTCGGGATACATTTTCTTCACTTTTATCTATATCAGATTTATATAAAATCAATATTTCATAAATATGTAACTGTAAATAAATACACAAATGTATATATAACTTAATGAATAATAAATAACGTAAATAGAAAATTGTATAAAATAAAAACACATAAATATAAATAACATAAGTTTTTTCGGGCAGAAATGTAGTCTCTGCCAACCCCCTACTCAGCCCCGTCCCCTCCCCCGCAGCCCTGCACCAGGAGGCACATCGTCAGCCTTCAGGACACTTCCAGTGACTCGATGGCCCAGACCACGTCCCTTATGTCCACCCCATGAAGCCCTGCACACTTCATCATCTGTGAGCCATGCTCAGGCCTCTGGAAACACGAGGATCTGACCCTGCCTTTACAACGTGCACGCTCCGGGGGCCACCTCTGCTCCGGTGCTGGTGGGCCATCCACTAGCAAGTGGCTGCTGTCATCCTTCACAAAGACCCCACACCTGGACATGCACCTGGCCCATCACATGGGACTGAAGGCAGACGGTCTCCAGGACGCCTCTCCCTGCGCCTGCTTGGACTGCGGCCCCACGCCCATAACGTGGTGGCTGCTGACAGCAGGGTGCACACGGGCTCCGAGCCTCTCCAGCGGCCACGCACAGTCAGGACAGGGCCATCGGGAAAAAGCTGACATGGGGCCCTGCGTGCAGGCAGCGCACCTGCCGCCTCCCACCCAAGCGCCGGCTCCGTGCTCCCAGGGCCCTCAGCTCAGTCTGGGGGCTGCGTGTGCGCACGTGCTTCCCTGTGTGTCCCATGAGGAAACGCTGCACCCCTTTCCAGGGCACAGCGACGGGGCTCTGCAGCAGCGGGGCCTGGAGCCACGGAGGAAGGGCCAGACCCCGGAGCCGCTGCCCGGCCCACCACCAGCGTGGTCTCCCATGGGAGAAGGAGGCGGGGCTCTGAGAGCTCCCATGGACCCTCTGCACAAATCAAAGACCCCCGACGCTGCTGGTGTCATGGAGCTGGGCAGGCCCCCTGCCCTCTACACTCCCACAGGGGCCTGGCGGTGATGCGTCTGCACCCCAGTGCCCCGGGGTTCTGTTCCCACGGATTGCTGGGAGCAACAGCAAACCCCTCCTCTCCACAGGGGACCCTCCTCATTAGCGAAGGACCAAGTTTTCAGAGTGCCTACGCTGTCCCAGGCACCATCTTGGACTCTGGGGAACGGGGACAGCACGCGGTGACAGGTGGAGGGGGGAGCCTTCCAGGGGACCATGCCAAGAAGCCCCGGATTCCAGGAGCCGACCCGCTGACACGCAGCCTCACCCAGGAGCAAGGAAGGGGCCACACTGAAAAGCGACATCTCCCACCACCTCAGTCCAGGGGAGACAGGAGCGTAATGCGAGCTCGCAGGGGTGTGAGGGGCGAGCACTGTAGTGCTGGGACCTTCACCCTCCTCCCGGGCTGCACAGGTAAGGCATCCCCCACACAGCCCATACCGGGGACTTGAGACCCCCACAGCCAACACCGCTTTATGACGAGACTATTTTTTTCGTTAGCAGACTATCCACTAAAGTAGTTGAAGCCTGCGGGCCTTAAAAATAAAATCACCTGGGGGGCGCCTGGGGGGCTTAGTCGGTTAAGCGTCTGACTTTCGCTTAGGTCATGATCTCGCAGTTTGTGGGTTCGAGCCCCGCGTCAGGCTCTGTGCTGACAGCCAGCTCAGAGCCTGGAGCCTGTTTCAGAGTCTGTGACTCCCTCTCTCTGACCCTCCCCTGCTCACACTGTCTCTCTCTCTCTCTCTCCTAGAAATAAATAAAACATTTAAAAAAAAAATTTTTTTAATCACCTGGGGGCGCCCAGGGGCTCAGCCAGTTAAGCGTCTGACTTTGGCTCAGGTCACCATCTCACGGTCCATGAGTTCGAGCCCTGCATTGGGCTCTGTGCTGACAGCTCGGAGCCTGAAGCCTGCTTCAGATTCTATGTCTCTCTGCCCCTCCCTTGCTCACACTCTGTGTGTGTCTCTTTCTCAAAAATAAAATATAAAAACATTTAAAAAGGGCTCCTGAACTTCCCTGGGGGTGGAGAATACTGTCTCTCCCCTTCTGTTAAGGACCAAGGTTTGTGTCCGCCCCCCCCCCAATCCACTTGTTGAAGCCTGAGCCCAGTGTGATGGTATCAGCAGGGGGCGCCTGTGGGAGGTGAGAAGGCCATGAGGGTGGAGCCGCCCCCCCAGTCTCCCTCCCGTCCCCACCCCTGTCTCTACAGGGAGAGCACAGCGAGGAGGGGCCAGGAGGGGCCGTCTGCAGCCAGGAAAGGGGTCTGCCCAGACCCCGGCCAGCAACACCCAGACGTCGCAGTCCCGCCTGCGGATCTGGAGAAGCCAGCACCGTCCAGCGCCCTCTGTACGCGTCAGTGTCCTTCAGAGAGCGGCACATTCGCTGCATCTACGGGGCTGCCCAGAGTCCTGAGTCTGCTCTGACGCTGGCCCCACAGGCCTGGAGCCACAGTAAACCCACATCCACACACAGGATGGCAAGGAGAGGGGCAGGGTCCGCGCACACCCCAGTGCCCTGGGCACCGGACCAGGCTTGAACCCCATGGCTGAGGGCAAGTGTCCCCAGGGCAGGTGGGCCCCCCCCAGAAGGACACTGACTTAGGGACGTTTTGCCGTCCTGCTTCTGGCAGGACCTAGAGATTCGGATTCTCCATTTTCTCGAGAGTCAGTCAACCCAGCAAGAGAAGGGGCCTGGGGCTCACTGTGTCCCCGGCAGTGCAGGGAGGGGCCCGCTGTTAAGACAGGAGGAGGCAGCGGACAGAAGCTGGGGACACGGGGCTCACGGGGACTCTGGGGGACAAAGGCTGAGGTGGCCTGAGCTCGTGGACGCCCCTGCCCATCCGGGAGGTCGTGGGGCCCCACCCACCTTCCCAGCAGGCTCCCCCCAGCCATCTTCCTGCTCCACCTCCTGGGCGTGCGGCTGGCGGGAAGCACAACCAGGTCAGGCTGGGGGCGCTGGGAGAGCGAGGGCGCCATGTCCATCGCCGCCCGTCCCTGCTGCACACGCCAGGGGCGGGCGCGTCCGCTCCACTGCAGGAGGCAATCCCGCCAGCCCTGAACTTCCCGTCTCAACCCTGAGTTGCTCTCAGAGAAGGACAGAAACATGACAGCAGAGAATCTCCATCTCAGAGAACCCCCCCTCCAGAGACCCTCAGGAGTCTGTGAACCCAGAAGCAGTGTGGACACGTTGTGGGGCATCCACGTGTTTTCTTAGCGTCCAGCAGGCCCTCAAATAGCCACAGGATTGGAGAGTCGTTGAGGCCACAGCCTGGTGGAAGGAGTGGGAGTCGGAGACAGAAGACGGGAGTTCAAACCCCAGGGGGCCCCTTCCCTCCTCCCTCTGTTGTTAAATGACCAGGCTTGGGGGCTGGGGTCAGAGAAGCACGTGCGAGCTGCTGTAGGCCAACGTCCTGTGACAATGACAGGTCATTCCACAAATGGGCCTGGCCAGACTTTCGGGCCCAACGAGGGCTCTCCCCCCAGCCATCACCACCCGACAGTCACAAGCTGCCTGACGTCCCCAGGAGTCCCCAGAAAGCCAAGTCAGTTTTCTAAAACCACCGCTCAGAAAAACGCAACCCAACGCTGTGTGCGAGAGCGCTGATAATGCACGCCCTCGATGGCCACCCGCTGCGGCCCAGGCACCTGTGGGCGCATTTTGTTCACGACTCATGACCGCTCCGTGGAGCCCACCTCACTCCTGCCCATGCTTTCTCTGTGCAGAAACCAAGCTCGATGGTGTCACCCAGGAAGCCAGGACCACATCGCTAGCAAGTCTGGGGGCTGGGGTTCAAACCGCATACCTGGTCACCTTTCGTCCGAGGACCAGAGCAGATGCCCTCGGGCCCAATGACAGCTGGACCCCTCCGGGCCGCGTGGGGACAGTGATGACCCCACGCTGCTGACACTTGTGAAGAGCAACTCCAAGAACAGACCTAAACTTTTTAGAAGAAAAAATGGTGGACACTTCCCATCACACGTATGTGACTTTAAACAGGTTTCTAGAATAAACACACATTGTTCTTATAGTATAATATACCACCAATTCTGGACGTGAAATCATATTCTATTATTTGGGGGGTGGGGGGTGGAGTATAAAATTACATACCAAACCACAAAAACCACAAACCCGGGATGTGGATGTGGAAACACGCCGGTACTCGGCAGTCACTCTGCCACCAGGTGGCAGCTCTGAGCACAGGGGACTTTCTGGATCCTGGGAATGAGAACCGTGCCTTCTCACAACGCCTGCTTGTGCCTTTAGAGAGATTTTCTGGGTGTCTGTGTCCGTGTCTGAGATGCAGTGGTAAGATGTGGTCCTTGTTCTCATGGTGGAGTTACCTGTCACCCCCAGAGGACTCTGTGCTCCTGCGCGAGCAGCTGTCTCACTGCTACTGTGTTGCGCGTTGGGAACATCTAAAGTGAACACATCTGAACCCCAAGTGTGTCTGTTCCCCCCACTCCAGGAGGTCAGTCAGGGCCTTGAACGTCTGACTGTCACGACTTGGAGATTCCTGGACGGAGGAGAATGGAAGTCCTTGAAGGCAAGCACTGTCCCTTTCCTCTGTCAGTCCTGAGGCCCCTGCAGATGTGATCCCGCGTGCATGTGCGCGTGGGGCCCTGGGATCCTGGGAACCCTTCCCGGCTCCCGGGACCTCAGCAAGAAGGCTGGGCCCCAGGCCTAAGGGCTCCTGGTTCACAAAGTGGGAGCCCCAGACCTCGTGCAGAAGCCCCCCCCCCCGAGCAGCCTGGAGCAGCACCCATGAGCTGATGGGGCATCTCTAGAGGAGCAGTGGGCAACCCCCACAGTCGCTGGAGTTGAACTCCCACCAGCCTGATGCAGGGGGCTGTGTGGGGCCAGTCTGAGTTGACTTAACAGAAGCCAAAAAGGAAAAAAAGCTGGAAGGAGAGTTCCACCTGAATTGCAGGTTCAGATCCACACCCTCCACATGGCACCCAGGCCTTTCTGACCCCCTGGGATGGCAGCAAGAGAGGTGGCTGGGGAGAGAGGCCCCCCGGGAGGCTGGGCCTCTACCTGTGGGCGGGGGCAGGGCAGCAGGGAAAGGGCCTCTGGGGGCAGGGGCGTGGACCAGAATGGGAACACGGGCAGTGGGGTGGGCATGTCTGTCTAATGGACTCATGACACCTGACGAACTCTCCTGACGCTAACCTGGCAGCGTGTGTGAACTCTACTGGGGTAAAAATAAAAAGGTAGCATCAAACAAGTGAACGAACGAAGCCCAGGCTTCTCCTGCACCTGCAGAAATACGAGCTCACAAATCGACAGGTGCCAACGACAGAGCACGTCTGCCCGGCCCCACTCAGCCAAGACCCAACTCGCAGCCGCGGGGTGCCCGTGCACACCTGCAGACACCCACGCGTGGGGCGCTGCTGGCAGTGTCCCGAAGTCCATCCTGCCCACCCTGAGTGCCCAGGGGGCGTGGACAGTGTGGCTCTGCAACAGGACCCCTCACAGAGCAGCCCCTCCGCTGGAGTGGGTGCCCCCACACCCACCGCTGGAGAAAAGGGACAGGGGACAGAGGACAGGGCACAGAGGATGGGGCACAGCGGGGGAGACAGCAGGTAAAGGGAGTGAGGAGGACAAACCCACGCTTCAAATCCCACGCATTTCCTCCTCTGACGTCGGCCCTGAACTGACCCCTCCGTGGGGTCCCCGGACCCAGTGCTCACCCCAGGCCCCTCGACCCCACACACGCAGCCTGAGACCATGTCTGCCATTTCTGGATGAGCTTTCCTTCACCAGCTTCACAGGCTCCCACCATCTGTCCCTGAAAGCCCGGAGCCTGTCTCCCACCCACCCCCATCTCTGCCCTGCACAGAACAGCTGAGGCACACAGGCTGTTCTGAGGGTCCCGCCCCCTGGATGTGGGGGACATATGGCCTGACCCCCCAGGAAAGGAGGTGCCACCAAGCCTGGGTCCCACTGATGCCGCCTGGTCTTTGGCAGAAAAGACCAGAGCCTAGGAAATATTGTGGTCCTAATAAATTAAAGGTCATGATCCTTAACATATAAAGAACTTTTACAAATCAACAAGACAGAGCTCGGCATTCTGAAAGACTCCTACCTCCTGTGGGTTTCCAGCTACCATGTCCCCCATCTCCCTGAAACACAAAAAAGGAGAAAAAACAAACACCAGTAAGTAAAATGCACAGCTGATGGCCACATTCTTTCAGGAAGTATTTCACTTTTCTGAAGGATTGACTTCCCACCTAAGACCTTCAGACCCTACTGGCACCCAGCTACATAAACCAAATCTTTACCAGCATCCCCCCCTTCAACCCCCAGTCTCCACCCCACCTGGGTCATCACCAGACAGGAAATGCCAGTGACCCTTCATGAATTCTGAAATGTTGGCCCTGGTGGCCCCCAATCATGGAGAATTCTCTGCCTACCCAGTCCCTCTCCCCTCCCTGGAGACCCAGCTCTGTGAGTCCCTGTAGTCACCATCTCTGGGCAAGAAGCTGGCAAGGCCACAGGCTGTGTGCACCTGTGACCATGTAGGTGGTGTGTGCATAGCGGGGGAGGATATATGTGTGCGTGTGTATGCATGTGAGTACGTGTACATGTGTGTATGTGTGTGCACCTGTGTGTGCGTGTGTATGCACACATGTATGTGTGTGCAGGTAAGGGAGGCGGGTTGTGGAGGCTCCCACTCTCAGGACCCAGGGGCCTCTCTGTTGAAGGAAACCACTCAGCACAGATGTCCCTGGTGCCCCTTCTCTCCAGCCTTGACCGTCTTTAAGCAGTCTACGGAGCATACACCCTGTAGACGGAGTAAAGGGCCCCTGGGAACAGGGAGTTTGCAGGGTCCTTCTGGGACCAGCGGAGGCGAACCAAGCGTGTCACCTGCCGGCCTGTGCGCCCCCCTCCCCCGCCTGCCTGCCCGCCACCGCAGAGGGGCAGAAGCGCACAGGCCTTGCCCTTATCCTTCGAGAACAACCTCAGGTAGAAGTCGCCGTCCTGGAAGGGCTGGAGAGTGGACGGCAGGCACAGGTACTCCCCAGGGGGCAGCTGCAGCCGGCGGGTCACCTCCCGCAGGGCGGTGGGGGTCCCAGAGCGCGCAGCGGGCTGGCGGCCCAGGAAGAAGTTCCAGTCCAGGAAGAAGCTCCGGCACAGGGGCGAGTCGTTGGCGGGGCTCTGCCCCTGCACAAAGCGGGGCGGGGTCAGTGTCCGGGAGGATGGAGGAGGATCATGGAGGAGGCGGATCGTGGAGGAGGGGGGCTTGAGAGTTTGGTCGAGGTCTGGTTTGGGGATTTGGGGATGGCTGACCTTTAACACCGCGCTGAGAAGTGGGAGGCCCCAGACTCCGCCGGGGACTCACCCGTGTCAGTCACCACGTCTGAGGCACGACCTGGGGGGGCGGGCCACGGTACAGACCGCGGCCCCCTCCCAGGTGAAGCACAGCAGGGTCTCCAGGGCACCCCATCCTTCCTGCTGGGGTCTGTCCTCACAAACCAGCCCCTGCCCATCCCACTGCCCCTTCTCTGCGGCTGTAACTCAGCGGCGCTGAGCCCCCAGCTCAGGACTGTGTCGGGGAGGTTGGGGGGGGCGCTTAAATCCTGCTCCGCCAGCAGAAGCACCCAGGAGCACCTGCTCGCTGCAAGCTGACAGGCTGTCAAGGGGATGCAGGCAGGGTGAGCCTCCAGTCCCACCCAGGGCCCCTGGCTGTCCTTGGAGGCAGGGTGCACCCGGTGGGTGACCCATCTACTTGTGGTGGGAGGGGCTGGTGTGTGACGCAGGCTAATTAGTGGCCTCAGGTGCCCCACTGGGACCGCTGTGATTAAGCCTCCACCCCTCCGTGTCTTCACGCCCACCTGTGATGCTGCAGGGCTGTGACTTGTGTGTGACCCAGTCCTGCAGCACCCACCCCAGAGGGGACAGTGTCCACCCACGGTCGCCAGACCCTCTTTAGATCACAGGTCTGCTAAGCCAAGGTGGAAAGCGGGGCCGCCTACCCCCACTGCCGGGTCAGGACTCCACAGGGTTCCCCAGGCAGGCCCTGCCCACTCGGGTCTGAGGTCAGCGAAGTGCTCGGGACCCCGCCCTGTGAACTGTCATATTCAGAACGCTAGGGATGCGGCCAGCAGGCTTCAGCCAAGGGCAGGGTGTCATTCTCGTGTCCCTGATGACCGGGGGGCAGGGGAAGTGGGGGGGGGGAGGGGACCAGCAGGGAAAGGTAGCCAGTAAAGCTGACTTGGGGAAGCACACTCTTTCTGAGCCGGTGGGGAAAGGGACACATGATCCTAGAGCCCGGTGCGGCAGGTACGGAGCCATAGCGTCTGACCTGGAGGACACTGAGGCAAGAGGGGCCCCTCCATCCTTCTAGGGGCCCCAGACAGGTGCGTGCCCGAGGCCCCTGGCCCTCATGTGCCATCATGATATGGCCCAGCCGGGAGCAATAGTGCAGGTCAACCGCGGGTAGGCTCAGGGCTGGCAGGAGCGTCCCTGGGGATGGGTCAGAAGTGCACCATCTCGGGCCACCCCCAGACCTGCAGCACCGGGAACTCTGGGGTGTTCTCACAACGCAGGGGGGCCCAGGCTGCAGACCCAGGGGGACTAACAGCACGGGATCCACAGTGACTTGTGAAGGGCCCCGGAGAGCACACTGTGTGCCTGCGTGACCTCTCTCTCTAACAAAGGGGACATGTCCAATGGGAACCAGAGTCCCCAAACCTGACACAGATTTGGATTTAGTTACTTCCTTGTAGGAAGAGCTGTGGGCTCCCCACCTTCCATGCTGGCTCCACATGACACCCATAATCGCTGACACATGGCTGGGAGCCAGCAGGCAGGTGGGGATCTGGTGTCTGCTGCCTTGGATGAAGCGCACGCTGGGGCCTGAGAAGCTGGCCCGGCCCAGGAAAGTTGGGGTATGATGCCGCAGGAAACCGCACCTTGGTGTGATTAGCAGTCGACCCCTGAGGGCCGCAGACAGAGCAGTGGTTCTCGACCTCGGCTGCGCACTGGGGTCACCCCAGAGATCCCGCTGTGGTAGGTCTGAGGTGCAGCCCGGACACACCGAGTTTTTACAGCTCCCAGGTGTGGCCTGAGCGCAGCCCAGGAGGGGCTCACAGGAGAGGCTGGAAGGGGCCAGACTCTGCGAGCCAGGCAGGGCACCTCCCCAGAGGCGCCATCTATCTGGGGCTCTCCCTTCGGCTGGCCCAGCACATGGGGAGCTGGGGAGAAACCCAGCGGCAGGAAGGAACCCCAGGCATGAGGATGACAACTGAGTAGGCGCGTCACCGAGGAGGTGCAGGAAAAGCCGGGAGCCAAAAAGATAGAGTTGTGTTTCTGTCTTTTATCAGAGATCAGGGCGCTTATTTCTTTGCCCTTGGTAATGACCTGGTTCAGAGCGGGTCACAGGCACACAGGGGCAAAGGTCACCCTGTCTCCCACTCGGGGGCAGGGTGGGAGCCGACCTGGTCTTTGCCACCCACCACGGTCAGCAGCTCCGGGACAGTGTGGGAGGAAGCAGGCACCATATCCCAAAGGAGAGACGCCTCTGCCAGTGCTCGCCTACCTCTCTGGGGACCTGCGGGGCGGAAGAGAAGCGGTGACCTGCCAGGGCAGGGCCCGTGCCTTGTGACCCTCCCCATGTCTTGCGGACAGACTGTGCATTTCTGACACTGGAAAGTCCCCAATGGGAAGGCCGTCTGGACACCAAACCCTAGAAATCTGAAGGGGAAAAGGCTCTAGGTTTTTACTTTGTGTTCTGGTTAAACAGTCTGCCAGGACCCAAGGTCCATCAGGACCCACACCCCCAGAGGCTGGGACCCCACATCCCTCAGGACTGACACCCCGGGGGCGGACGACATCTCACAGACCAGCTCGGAGAGCACAGACCCAGAAAAGTGAGGCCCATGGAAGGAGAGGGACGGTCACCTTAGAGGTGCAGGATCTTAGGTGCAAATGACAAGCCTGCCTGGCCTGAGCCTGTTGTCACAGCAGGAAGGTAACAGGGGACAGAGGGGACAGACACCAGGGCTCTTTAGCCTTTAGGGTGTCAGGGCTGCTTCTCAAACAATGTCAGCTTTCAACCTACACAGACCCCCAGACCACACACACACAGAGTCCTCAGAGTCAGCTACAGATGCTCCCCACAACATCAGGTGCTCCCTACATCCTCCAGGTGCTCCCCACAACCCTAGGTGCTCCCTACACCCCAGATGCTCCCCACGCCCCCAGGTGCTCCTCATAATCCCAAGTGCTCCCCACACTCCTGGATGCTCCCCACAACTCCAGGTGCTCCCCACACCCCCAGATGCTCTCTACACCCCCCAGAGGCTCCCCACACCCCCAGGTGCTCCCTACAACCAGTGACACTTGATACCTGACTAAATGACACCTTGATCCTCTTACAACGATGGAATCTTAACCCAGCTCATCTGTAATCACTGGGCCACACAATGAGGTAGCTAGCCTGGCAGATAGCAACTGTCCCCCAGAGGAAGGTGACCTTGCCTGAACTGACCCACTCCTCCCCGGAAACCCCCATCCCAGTTGTGCCTATGACCAGCACTCCTTCCTCCTTGCCAAATGGGACGCAGTCCAATTCACAAGTCACTTAATAAAGCCAATACCATCTTTAACGTCCACTCAGCTGAATTTCGGGCTTTAATGGCCCCTGAGAGCAGTGACCGTGTCTCAGCCGCTAGCACAACACCGGACACAAAGCAGACACTTGGTAAAACACATGGAAGTGACACGCATTCATAAGTGCCTTCGCAGTTTCACCCCTGTAGGCCCGGAGGTGAGGCTGGGGCTCTGTACGCTCTAGCTGGGGTGGGACGGGGGCCCCTTTAGTCCACATTCTTGTCTCCTGCCATCAGCCCACCGGCCACTGGCCACGGGCACACTCCCGCTCTCAAGCATGCATACGTACTAAGCCCTGAACTGCAAAGCCTCACGTTCTAGAGCAAGAGGAAGAGGGGGCCAGGGGGTAGGAGCTGGCCATGGGCTTCCTCTCTCGTATGCTACTTTATTCTGAGGTGCTGGGCCTCCTCGTGTTCTTCTCAATTGAAATTGCATTTTTCCCAAGAAATTCATTCTTAACAAAATTACATAAAAACAGCCACCACTAACCCTCTGGGATTTGCTACAAGGAGTCTTTGCCTGTATAAAAAAGTAGATTCTGATGCATTGCTAGCAAGTCTTTGCTTTAATGTAACCCGCAAGGCTGTGCAGTCACAGAGGAGCAGTTTCTGGTGCAAACCAGAGCAGGGCACCGCCTGAGACAGAGGGGGTCCCCAACCAGAGAGAGGACTGAAGGTGGCCATGTGGCTCCCCTCACCCCAGCCAGGCCTGTGGGTTCTTTTTTTTTTTTTTAATGTATTATTTATTTTTGAGAGAGACAAAGACAGAGTATGAGAAGGGGAGGGGCAGAGAGAGAGGGAGACAGAATCCAAAGCAGGCTCCAGGCTCTGAGCTGTCAGCACAGAGCCGGACACAGAGGATGAACTCACAAACCGCAAGATCATGACCCAAGCGTAAGTCGGATGCTTAACCGACTAAGCCATCCAGACGCCCCAGGCCTGTGGGTTCTGAGAAGAGTCTCAAGGCTGCCCAGCGTGGGAGGACAGGTGTCTCTGGCTCCCACACCCATTCTCCCTCCCCCCACTCAAGTGCCTCGTGTGTCATGTGTGTCATGTTCTCGCCTCCTGTCCCCTGAGAAGCCTCTACTTGGAAAGCGCATTAACACTGAGCCCTTGATGACAGGCAAAGTTTAAGGAATTACATATCTCCACGTTAACAGCAGAGGTGTAAGCTATAGGAATGAATCTCTAATGGTGGAATTCAAGCCTCAGTAAGGCTATTGGGAGAGGCATTTAGGGGAGCAAGAAGTGTACTTCATGAGGAATATTCAAGTGATAGGAAAGATGTACCCGAACTACGGGCCACAACGTCCCAGGCAAAGACACCCAGTGTGGAATGAGGACGACCCAGCTCGAAAAGTACTTTGTAGACACTAGAGCCAATTCTGAACGTGCCCTGTCCTATTCTCTTCCCTCGCCTGCGAGTCTTCTGCACCAGACCTGGCAGCACCGGACAGCAGGCTCACCGACGCCCCCTGCAGGCTGCCATCCACCTCGTCCAGATGGTTTCGGAACTGCGGATTAGTCCAGTGAGTGGCTGGAAGTCATGGGAAGGGAAGCCGGTGGTGCCCCCGTGGTGGGTGAGGAGGGGCAGGATAATACAGGGGAGGAGCTCGCTCATCCCGGAGAACGGGCGGCTGCGTGTGCGCAGGCGCCCACGAGCTTTCTTCTCGGGGCAGTCAGCCTTCCCCTCCTCCCCTCCTCCTCCCACACACCAGCGGACCCATCCGGTAGCATTGGGAAACTTGGCACGGGTCCCTCTGAGCAGCCGGGGGGACCAGACATGCTGGACTGGGACTATTCGAGGCCTGATGTCTCCAGGGCCACCCAGGACTGTCACAAGTAACCTCCATGACTTCCCAGGGGATCGGTTAACACCCCCTGTTCTCAACTCCTGGCCTGTGGAGACACCACCTCCCAGAGGAAGGGGGCTTGTGAAGGGGACAGGGGAGTCATGCCCCAGGACAGGCTACAGAGACAACCCGTCTGATGGGTGTCTGTCCCCTCGCAGAGAGGGCCCCTGCCCCAGATCACAACGGAAGCAGCTCTGGGGGCCTCCCTCCGTGGCGGTGGTCTTGCTGCCATGAGGAGACACGCTCCCTCTCACTCGATGACACATGAGGGGTAACAACTGTGGCACCACCTACGGGTATTTTAAAAGGCTGCTTCACTTCAAAGATGACCTTAAAACTCTCTCAATGCAGTGACTACACAAGCCAAGGCACAGAGAGGTCAGATGGGTTATCCAAGGGCACACAGCGCTCCGTGACAGAGGGAAGGGCAGACCCCAACCGAAGATGGGCCCAACGGGAATCTCCATGTAGGGCCCTCAAAAACTTTACCCCAGAGGCTCCCTGAGGGAGGAGGGGGCTGGGCCCCGGGGGAAGGGAATGGGGTGGGGCGTCTCACATCCTTTCAGGACAGGCCCAGGAGGCAGAGAGGACGGCGGCGGGGGGGGGGGGGGGGGGGGGGGGGGGGGGGGGGGGGGGGGGGGGGGGGGCGGGAGGGCAGGATGCAGGGACCTCACATCCTCTGGGAAGGGCCCACCTGGACCAAATGACAAGGTATGTGCAGGTGACCAGGAGCCACTGATGATCAGTAGTAATATTACCTGTCCGACCCCACCTTCCCATCTCAATGTCAGGGCTGTTTATTGAGGCCCAAGTATGTGGATTTCAACGGCAAGTATCTGTGGCCTCTGACACCATTGCCAAAGGGCAGGAACGATGCCAATGGGATAGTGATGGTGACTGTGTGTGCAGACACCTCAGGTCCCCCCACAGCCCTGAGTCCCCGAAGTGATCCATGCAAATTTCCTAGCTTTCCCGAAGAGCTTGCTAATGGTGAACATATTTTAATTTCTCGCAAATACAACCTTACAACAATCCCACATTTTTTGCTTACTCCTCAACGGCACCAGAGGAAGAGAACAACCCGTAAAAACACTCTACACCCCATTCCTATAACACTAACCTGTTTACAAAGCGCCTTCTGAGGTGGGTGTTATCACCCTACGGCTAGGATCCAGAAACAAGCTCGGAAAAGGGAAACGAGCCACCTGGGGCCGGGTGGCTATTCAGTCCAGCGGCGGCCGCCAGCGTGGGGCCCTGGGTCGGGTGGGGACCGAGGAGGAGACGGGGCCTGCCCGCACTCGGGACTTTATTACCGGCCGCTCGCACAGCACGGACACAGCCCTGCGCCCAGCTCTGTGTCCGGACTAAGGGTCTACACCAGCCGGCGCGACGCCTCAGAGCGGGGAGGGCGAGGGGACGTACGCGGGGTGGAGATGGGCTTTGTTTTCCTTCCTTTCTCCTTAGAGACATGGGGTGGGTTTCTCAGTTTCCCCGTCGGGTGCTGCCGCACCTGGAGCCTGCGCACCAGTGTATCCATGACATCCCGGCGCCGGCGTATCCGTGACGTCCTGGCGCTGGCGTACCGGTGACGTCCTGGCGCCGGCGTATCCGTGACGTCCTGGGAACCGGGAAGACCTCTCACCCGCAGCAGCACGAGGGCCCGAGTGGGTGCAGATGCGGGTGTTTGCACCAGGCTGTCCCCGCCAGGGTGGGGCCCCAGTGGCCCCCGGAAGAGCGAGGAGGGGCCGTTCGGGACCCCCACCCAGGCCCCTCCACCTCCGAGTCCACCGCCCGCCCGGGCACACGCGCCAAGCTGAATGCCGCCCTGGGGATACCGGGTGTTGAAGCAGCAGGGGGTGGCGGAGTCGGGGAGGCGTGTCCGCCAGGTGCCGGGGAGGAGCCTGGGGAGGGAGCAGGCGGCCTCCGCACAGGGAGTCAGGAGCACGGTGAACGAGGAGGGGCCAGGGGGCGGGTGGGGGAAGTGAGGACCCCTCTCACGCGCAGAAGGGCGGTGTTAGCTGAACTCAGGCCTCGGGTCGGGGGCTGGCGGGCCACTGCCCACCTTGCTGCCCGCGCCCCCACGGCCCTCCGCCTCTCCCGGGAAGTTCAGGCAGCCCCCGGCCGTGGAGCCCGGCGTCCAGCGGACACTGAACAGGACCAGGTTCCATTTGTGCAGCTGGTCGCCGCTCAGGGAGTCCAGGGACAAGTTACACATCTCCAGCCGCGAGAACTGCCTCAAGAAATCCGAAAATGACATCCTGGGGGCAGAAGGGCGGGGGCTCCGGGTTAAGAGAGCCAGGCTGCAGAAGAGAGGCGACACAGGGGAGCCGGGCGGGCGGGTGGGACAGAGAGGGGGCGTGGCCGGTCTGACCCCACCCCCACCCCCACGGGGCGGCTGTCCAAGTCCCTGCTAAGGTCAGCGCCCCTGTTTTGTCGGGAACCCCCTTTGCGCAGTATGGACCACAGACAGAACCGCCACTTCGGAGTCTGCAGACGCATCCTCCAACTTAACTCTGGCGATGCCCCCTGGAGATATCCCCGGGCCGGTCAAGTTCATGGCTGTCCCTGTCACCTGCCTCCGCCCACCAACTGGGGGAGTCTCCATCTTGCTGCTAAAGTCAACTTAGCACTCTGCCTGGTGAACGGAGGCAGGAAGGCGGGACGACAGGCCCGGACAGGTGGCCTGGATGCTGCAGGCACGGGAGTAAGGCGGCGGGGATGGGGAGGGGTGGGGAGGGGCGGAGAACAGCCCCCAGGAGACCGGTAGCGTTCCAGAACGTTCGGAATGTTCCCACAGGCAGCGCTCACCAGAACTCCCCGTCCTCTGCTCTCTTGTCCAGCTCCTCCTTCCGCCTGGGGTCTATGTGATTCCACTCTGGTGCACTGGGGAAATCATAAAATCAGGGTATTTTTAAGTTTATTTATTTAATGAGAGAGAGAGAGCATGAGCAGGGGAGGGGCAAAGAGAGAGAGAATGAATCCCAAGCAGGCTCCACGCTGCCAGAGCAGAGCCCAATGCAGGGATTGGTCTATGAATCGTGAGATCATGACCTGAGTTGAGGTCAAGAGTCTGACACTTAACTGACTGAGCCCCCCAGGCGCCTCTAAAATATTTTAAATGGAGGCAGAGGTGATCATTCGAGCAAGGTCAGCTGTGGTGCACGCTGTTTGGGACAGATGTTCCCTGAGGGCCACAGACAGATGTGAGAGCCCAGCAGGCAGGGGCAGAACAGACAGTGGGGGTGGGGGCGCACCTGGGACAGGGTGCCGGCTGGGGACACAGGCCCCACGGCACCTGTGGGGTGACCCCGTTAGTGCGGCACGGACTTTGCCCTAAGTTCACTCTTGGGGCCCCTACCCATGTCTGAGGCTCCTGGTCCGAGGCAGAGTGGTCAGAGAGAGGAGGCCTAAGACAGCCTGTCAGGCATGCATGCCGGTGTCCATGCCCCTGGTCACACCCATGTCCACACCCGTACCTTGAATCCATATCCCTGTCCATACCCTCATTCACATCAGTGTCTACACCCGTGTCCACACCCATACCCATGTCCATGCCAGTGCTCTCACCTGTGCCCATGCCTCCCCCTTGGAGCTGCCCCAGCCTCTGAGAGCCTTGTGGGGGGTGGTGTCAGGGAAGGAGATGGGTTCAAATACGCCTTCTGGGGAGCCTGGGAAACAGCCGTCAGCCAAAACGGCAGAACTTGGAGTTCTGGTTCCTTCGGCCCTGACGCCCTTTCCGGGCAGTTGGCAGAGCGAGGTGTGGGTTCTGCTAAAGCTCAGGCAGGAGCATCAGAATCTGTGGTCCCAGGGACACCTGTGTCTTGGTGGCATAGGTGGTGACACGTGGCTGCACATGACAAAGGCCCTCCAGAGCCCCAGCGCCATCACTGAGCATGGGAGGCACACGACGGCTCCCCCGAGGTTGAGGACATATGGGGCGGGATTCATTCCCATTTCCGGTAACTCCTCATCCACGGCGGGAGGCCTGCCGGAGGGGAGCCTGTCTGAGCCCTCATGACCTTGTCAGAAGGACCAAGCCCTGTCCCATTGTGAGTGAGATCGCCACTCACATCCGCCCACTGCTGCCTGCTGGCCCCAGGGGTCAGACCCCACTTCCCAAGCTTGGCCTTTGCCAGAGACCAGGATTTGTGGGGTGGGAGGAGTCCATCTGAGGGTCTGGCCTCACTTGGGGCCACCACAGTGTGGCAGGTGAGAAACAGGCAAACCTTCAAGGACACGCAAAATTCCAGGGCTGCCAGACCTACAAACACCAGGCAGAGACCTCGGAGCAAAGGCGCCAGCCAAGTGCCTCGATCTGTGCCCCGCCCGGAGCCACGCAGCATCCTCCGAACAGGATGTCCGTGGAGGGAACGCACCACCGCGCTCACTACACCCCCCTGTGCCTTCAGTCCCACGAGGACCCTGTCCTCATGACGCCCTTGCAGGGGGAGGTGAGGTCAGGGAGGGAGCACCTACCTGTCACCCCACGCCCCCGTCCATTCCACTTCGCCCCATGGGTTCCGGAGTCTGACCAGCTTCTCCAGATGGCCTCGGAAATCCACCTGCAAGGTCCACACGCAAAAGCACCTGAGCCGCTGTGTCCGGACTGCCTTTCCCAAGCCCCAGACACACCTGTCCCAAGGGGGCTTGCACTCAACTTTTCAAATTCGCCTAAAGAACCACACCCTTACTGTCACATGTTTTCAGGATGCAGCCACCGGCCTGTTTCCCACAATTTGGTTGAATACCTAGTGCGTCTAACAAGTTGGTGTCGGCTAGAGCTCGCATTTAGATTTCATGGTTGACAAAGATGAACTCTGCTCTTACTACAGAGACCCAACGATGACAGATGCCCTCCAGACAAATACCCATAGCATGACGGTCAGCATTCACAGAGCACGGCTCTGGACTGGGCAGGGCGCTAAGCAGTCCAAGGGCATTATCGCCTCATTTAACCTGACAGGAGTCCTGTGAGCTGGGTGCTGATAGCACCTTTATTCTGCAGCTCAGAAATCCTAGACTCAGAGGGTTGTTATCCAAGGTCAGCAAGTGGTGGAGGGAGGGTGGGCACCCAGGCAGCTGTCTCCAAGCCCGCACCTCCGGCCTCCCTGCTGGCTCCTGAACACTCACTAGGAGCCTGCATGCCTGCACTTTGCATCTGCACCCATAGACACAGTGAATCATGAGGTCCTGCTTTCCTTTGTTTGTGTCTCCCATCATGCCCCAGCCCTGTGCTTACACACTCCGGCTCAGTCTGTACTGGAGGGCCAGCTTTACTTAAGAGGATATTTGTGAAACACAAACACTGAGATACCCATCTCATTTCCCTTTTTGCCTTGGCCATCAGGAGACCCAAAGCAAAGTTCATTTCTCAATGGTAGCACTGTCTTTTGCCTGGATGGTCTGGTGTGTTCTGCCCTCATGGTGTGGTTTGTCTGTGTGTGTGCTCTTCACTGTAAACAGCTGCAAATCCTTTTAGGAAGTGGGCAAAGTCTAGTAAATAAAAATACTGGAAACTGTAGCCTGTGCTTTCTGCTCTGGTTGGAGAGTAGGGAAACCAGTGTTCTTTCCCACTGTTACAGCCCCTCCCAAGAGCAGACATCACTGCCTCACCCCCTTTGGGATCCTACAGGTTTCCACCACTTCACCTGTACACACATGCTTCTTAGAATGAGGGTAGAATCTGGCAATTTCTACACTTTCTCCAGGGCCTCCCCCCAAACTACACTCCCCCCCCCAGGTCACATCTCAGAAGGGGGCCTGCAATTCCTCTGAGTCCATGGAGCTGTGGCTCACACAGGCCACATTATCCATCTCCAAGTAGGTAAGTCAGAAGGGCCCTTGCAATGAGCATCAGGGGCAGCCAGAGAGGGACCTCAGGAGGCAGGGAACCTCTCAGTGGTGGCCCCTCTCAGGGCGCCCTGGATGTGTGCAGTGTCACCTCCCCTGCACGGTTCTACCTCTTCGACTCCAGTGACAGAGTAGGCGTGGCTCTTCACCAGCTTCTGGCAGGTGGTAGCCTCTGCCTCCGCCTCGGCTGCACCGGAGACCTGATTGGGAATAAAGTCCAGTGCCAGTAGCCGACCCTGACCCTGACCCTTACACTGACTCTGACCCTAACTCTGTTGAGGCCCCGTGCGGTGCTGGAGTGCAGGTGCAGCAGTGACCTCAGAGAGCAGAGTCCTCCCTATCCAGCCCCTCTAAGCAGGCCCACAGCGCCAAGCTCACAGCTTTTAAATGCCCTGGAAACTGGGGGTTCACCCGCTTCCCCAGGGTGACCCCGTGCCATATATCCAGATGGCGAGCCTGGTTCTCCAGTATTGGCACTGGGTGGGCCTCCCCTTCCTCTCCAGGCCCCCCACCATCTCTCCACTGAACACACACTTATGTGGAGACTTTTCGGAGACGTGCGTCCACGTGTGAAACCACCAGGTCAGGGTGGGAGAAGGGGCAGCGATAACAGACCAGCCCCCACGCCCACACTACCCTGGGGGTCGGGACAGCCAGCACCCTGTTCCGGAACCACATCCCTTTTCCTTGGGGGCCCCAAAGCCCAGTGAGTATGTCCGTCTTGTGCCCACGGTGACTAAGCAGAAAGGAGGCAGCACAGGGGGGAGCAGATCTCTGGTCTCAGGGCCTCGTCCCTGCTACCCCAGGGGATCCCACAAGAAAGCCACTATTTAGGTCCCACCCACCCCCATGTGCCAGGACCTGTGTGTCACCAGATTTGCCCCTTCAGCCCAGGTGCTGCTCTGGGCCAAAGCCTCCCGGCTGCTCGCCCACCCGGCCCTACCCCTGACGGACGCACAAGGGGAACGGGGGCCCGCACTGGCTCACATCGATGGAGCAGGCCAGCAGCGACCCCGCGCGTAGGGCCTTCCGGATGATCTGAAACAGGCCGGCCGGAGGTGTCCTTAGGTCATAAAACTCACAGATGCCACCTGTGAGACTCTCAAGCCCCTCCACTGTGGACCCCCCGGTGAGAGCCTCATAGGAGCCGTGGAGCCTGTGGGGGAACAGGGAAAGGGTGCACCATCCACAAGCGGGGGGGCCACGTGGGCTGGTGCTGGGCGTGGACCAGAAGGTAAGGGAGGACCCTTTGCTGATTCTGCCCCAGACCAGCAAGGGGCTCCGGTCACGTTCGCAGGAACGAATGTCAGGCCACCTTTCACCAAGTCACTCACCCACCCCTCTAAAAAGCAAAGTTCAGCCTTTGCAGAGCCAACCCTGCAGGTGAGGGGGCACGGGCAGGGATGAGGGGGACCCACCCTCAGGCGGGGAGTCCCTCAGGGGGCTTGCTCAGGAAGAGGGCTGGGAAGGAAGAGGGTTTGAGGACAGGAAGCCAGAAAGTGACATGTGTCAGATCACACATGGAGCACCCGCGGGAAGGGGTGGCCTCGGGGCAGGGGTCAGCATCTAAGTGCCCTCACCACTCCTGTGAAAACACACGTGGACCTAAAAGGGGTCTTGGGGTCCCAAGAGGACAAAATGAGGCACGGAAGCCGAGGGGCTCGCCCCCAATTCACGTGATCAGCAGGGGCAGAGCTGAGCCACGAACTCCTGGCCCCGAGGTCTGTTCTTCGGGTTCCCAAGGCCAGGTGCTGGGGAGGACTGGGCCCAGCCCCCCGAGTCACTCACTTGGCGTAGGCCTTCTCCAGCAGGGCGCTCCAGAACTCGCCGCCCGTCCCGGAGCGAAGGAACAGCAGCTCTCCGTTCTTGGTGGGCAGCCTGTCGTCCACGACCACGTCCACCCACTGGCCGTACCGCCAGAACTGCGGGCACAGACACAGGGCAGCGGGGCCCCCTGAGCTCCCCGCTCCCGCAAGAGCGGATTCGGGACTCCTGCACCCACGAGAAAGCAGGGAACGCAGGAGGAGCGAACTTGCCCCCATCACACAGCGGGCAACCCTCACCCCAAAGGGGCTTTCCTCCTCAAGGCCACACAGCCCGGGAAAGCAGGTGCACAGTGGAGGGACCGCCGGGCCCCTGGCATGTATCTGATTCCATGGGTCTGGCGTGGGAGGGGCTCCTGGGCCACAGGGGTTTGAACAGTGAGAACAACTTATACGCAGACTGGTTTCAACAAATACAGCACAGTCCTGAAAATGTGTTTTCTCTTCCTAATGATCCTCCTAATAACATCCTTTCTCTGACTCACTTTCTTCTAGGAACACAGTGTATAATACATGTAACATACAAACCATGTGTGAATCGACTGTTTATATCAGATCCATAGTAAGCCATTAGTAGTGAGTTTGTGGGGGGCCAAAGTCATACACAGATTTCTGGCTGCACCTCGATCTCCACGCTGTTCAAGGCCCACGAACAAAGCACAATACCTGGAAATGAAAGATCCCTGCATAGTTCTGCTGGAAGTCCTGGTCTCTGGGGACCACGCGGTAAAGCAGCTTGTCATTCAAGGTGAGGGAGGCGAGGGCCGCCAGGAGCCAGCAGTCACCTGTGCTGGGACACAGGGATGCTGGTCAGGCCGGCCACAGGGTCCTTGCCCTCTCTGACCCTCATCGTCCTGTTCAGTCCCCCCATTCTGGGTCAGATGGATTCTGTCCTCCAGCATCTGAAGATCACGGGCAGCCCCTGCAGCTTCACTGGGAGTCCTGTGCTCCGAATGGGAAATTCTCTGTGCCCCCATCCCTGGAAACTCCCCCCAGCCCTGAAACCCACATCCCTGAAATCCCCTCACCCCTGAAAAACCCTCCACCCCTGAAACCCCCATCCCCAAAACCCCCCCATCCCTGGAAAAAAAACCCATCCCTGAAATTCCCCTGCCCCTGAAAACTGACCGGGTCACCTCCAAACACCTGATCAGGGGGTCGACAACAGAAATACAAAAAACGTGAACTTGACACACGTCTCCAGCTTTCCTCCATCCTCTCCTACCAAGAACCTGACCTCCGGTCAGACTCGGATGTGCAGGAGCGTGCGCTGGCCTCCCCCCTGGGCGGCTGACCCCTTGTCCCTGGGTCCCGCAGCCTGCAAGTCGCTGCAATGGCCTCCCCACCACCAGCCACACATCTCTGTTCCATTGTGTTTCCCAAAGAACGTATCTAAACCTCTCTGTGCACCTTGGGGTCACAGCCGGCACCCAGCATGGACTCAGAGCTCCTCCTACACATGAGGTGCTCAGCAGAGCCGTGACCCGGCCTCCCCCCTCGGGCCAAGCACCCTCCTGAAGCGCCCATGGGGACGTGGACTCCTCATCTGGCATCCCCCCCAGGTGGCTAACACATAGTAGGGGCTCAATAAGTGTTTGACAAATAAAAGTAAATAAGCAAGTGACCAAACAAATGAACCGATTACATTCTTTGCCTGTGCAAATCCCAGTAGCACCTTCCGTGTTTGCTCCTGGATCTCCCCAGTCCGTGGGGCAGTGAGGCCCCAGAGGGTATGCTGGGGCCCACAGACCTCACCTCCCCCGACACGGGGCCTTCGGCCCTAAACCTGAGGGTCAGGGGGAGGTAACAAGGGAAGTCACCCCCTCCTGTGCCCCTGGGGGGTTGACAGGTGACCACTCCGGGAGGCAGGTGCCCTCATAGCTGGGCACAGCCCCCCATTGGCACTGACCTCCTTGCTCCGGGCTGAGCCACCCTGGGATGCCTGCCTCGAACACCTCAGACTTTCCGAGTCAAGTCACGACATGAATTGTCCCTCCATGGCTGACATCAAACAGGGCTGCCCACCTGGAGGAGCTCAATTGCCCCTCTGTCTGCCTCCCACGTGACATCTCTGGGTCCCCCTGGCATCCGCGCAGAGCTTGGAGCACATGCACGGGGGTCACAGTATTCTTGCCAGCGACGGTCAGGTATGAGCAGGTGCTCTTTGTACGGAACATGCCCAGTGAGCATGTGCCCCTTCAGATGGGCCTCCTGGGGGGGGTGGAGGGAGGGAGGGGTGGACATTATTCTGTTGCTCAGAACTTTCCAGGCACTTGTTTGGGGAACTGCCTCGAAGCCGAAGCCGCATGCATCTCAGCAGGGACACAGCTTTGATCTCTGGCCATGATCGGTTTTCAGAGGCGATGAATAAGGAGAGCGGGAAAGTGGGGAGATCATGACGGACAAGTCCTCCTGGCCATCCACCTTCCAGCAAAGTCTAGCCGCAGGAGGGTTAGAGTTTAGAGCAACCAAGTGGCTGGATCTGGGGGGTCCCGGGGCACTGACCTCAGGGAAAGTCGGGGAACCACCCCCATCGCTCACTCAGGTTATGCTATAAGGGGGTCAATGTCTATCAAAATAATAAAGTGACTATTTTATCCCACTGAAGTCATGACCCCATGGGGTCCCCCACCCCTGCGGTTGTGGACTTCAGGGCCACCAGGCAACAGCAGGCAGACCCAAGCCCCAACTTTGACGAGGTGCTCTGTCAAAAGAGGTCTTAAGTCCAGGAAGAGACAGCCATCCTGAGTCAGGCTCTGCTACCACAGTAGTTGCTAGATCAAAACCCCTGTGACGTGTCAGGATCAAAGCCTGAAGGTCTGAACACCTAGTGTCACTGGAAACTGTAGGTGGAAGAACTCAGACACCGAGGGAGAAGCAGAGCAGCATCTGGGCCATGGGCAGGGAGGAGGCGGGAGGAGGACTGAGAAAGGTCAGGTGCCGGCATCCCTGCAGGGGGCCCGTGTTGAGGCTGAACAGCAGGAGGGCTGAAGACGGTGCCCGCAGCAGAGGGTGCGTCTGCCGGGCACTGGGGACTCTGGGGACAGGATGACAGTGGCTGCCTGGAGCCCGGAGTTGGGGTGGGGTGGAGAGGAGGGAGACAGCCCAGCCGCCGGGGTGCCCGCTGGGAGCCACGAGGGGACAGGCAGGTGCACCCCCCCCCAGATCTGTGGTGGCTGCAGGGTCAGGTCTGTAGCAGGAGAACAGGACAGACAGTGCAGAGTGACCCCTCCCTGGACCAGCCTGGGGCCAGTGCACAGTCACACCTCCCGGGGACCAGCTTGGGGACAGTACAGAGTCCCACTTTCTGGGGACCAGCCTGGGCACAGTGCAGAGTGACTCCTCCCAGGGGACCAGCCTGGGATGGCACCAGCACTGGCCTGGCCTGTGTTGCTCTGATTTTTATAGTAACAAATGACGGTTCAGTCTTGGACCTGTTTGTGGGCTCAGTGCTCAGGAAACCCAGGCCTAAGCAGAGGGAGATGTGTCACTCTTTTGTTATGGTAATGAGGTGGCTCAGAAAAGCTCCCTGGAGACCTAACTGGTTACCAGGGAAACAGACCCCTCAATCCCCCTCCCCAACCTGGGAACCCATCACCAGCAGCCGCTGATCTCGCCCATCAGGCATCTGTCAGGAAGCCCTACCCCCCACCAAGAACCCCGGAGGCCAGGCCGGTGCTCTGGCTGGGTCACACGTGTGGATTCAGGGATAACGGCGCCCCTGCCCCTTCCCCACCTCCCCCCACCCCACACCGGCCCCGGCACCTCTCCTCCATCAGGCTGTTCGTGAGGCGCATCCTTTTATAGGAAACGGCACTCTAGCAAATACAATGTTTCTCTGAGCTCTGAGAGCCGCTCTAGCACGTTCTCTGTGCTCATAGCCGTTGGGTCAGAAGCACAGGTCAGCACGTGGATGTGAGTCTGGACTCTGAGGCGGGGGATAGTTGCATGGGGCTAAGCCAGGAGCCGGTGGGTCTGACACCGTCTAGACAGCATCAGAACTGGGTTGGATCAGAGGACAGCCCATGGGAGCCCCAGAACCTCCTGAGGGAGGTGGGACAAGACAGCTTGGCGTGGCTATGTGGCTCCGGTCCACGGCCCAGCTGTCCACCGGTCCCTGTGGTGGTAACGATCCCTATAACCCTATCACTTCCAGAGTTTTCCGGGAGCCCCGCTCCGCTCCCCTGCTACTTCTCTCCCTCCCGCTGCTCTGGCTTGTGCCCGGTGGGTCTCATTGCACCCAGGTGCCCACGTGAGATCCTGGCACAGTGTGGCCAGTCTCAGGCCCACCCGTATTTGGGAGTGTGGCCTCCTGACCTCCTGGGGCCCTCGAGCCCTGTAATTATAGTGTTCTTCCTTCCCTCCAACGCACGCTGCCGCCAGCCCTCATCCCTGCAAGCAGAGACAAAGCTCAACAGATCCGAACCTCGGAATAGCCAGGTGGATGTGGATGGGGTCCCCAGAGCCCCAAACCACAGCCCCGGCCTCCTCTGCGGCCTCCGCCCCATGGACACATCTCTGCCCAGAGCTCAGAGGCGTGGCAGCCTGAGATACGTGGGTCCAGCTGGGACGTGGCCTCTGGTGGCCTCGGCTCCTATTTACCCGATCACTGTCACCTGCTCCCTGACCACAGTGCCACTCTGTCGCGGTGTCTGCACAGGTGGGCTGGGTGCACATGGGGCCAGCAAGCGAGTAACCCAGCAGTGTCTGCGCCCTGAGTATCCTGAGCCTCCGTGGACGTTCCAGCCCTTACAGTCGCATGGTGACTGAGAGTCCCAGCCCTGCCCCGGCCTCCAGGAGAACGCACCTATGGGACGTCCTGCCCTCAGGCTGGGGCCCTGCTCTGTGTGTCATCAACGTGCCCGGCACTGTTGGGGACAGTCTGCATGACACTGGGACCAGAATGAGCTGGATGAGAATCGGTCCCCACCAGCTCAGAAGAGCAGAAATAACATGGGTTTGGGCTTGTCTGCAGTGCGACCTCCAGCCCCCACTTAACTCCTGTGGTCCTCAGTTTTCCGATCTGTAAAATGGGTTTGTACCTCATGATTCACTGTATGGGACCATTTGGCACCGAGCAAAAAGACTTTCTTGTAACAAGAAGACTATTTAAGAAGACATATGAATATAGGTCCCCAGCTGCCCAAGGGGATCTGGGTGTAAAAGCACACGTGGGTGCGAGTGTTAACAGAAGACATAATGTTCTCAGGGTACCTGTTGAGTCTCCTGGTTAACACTCCCTATGATGTGAGCCAGTCCCTCTTGACCCTGACCCCATCCACAGATACAGCTACTGGGAAGGCAGACAGGGTGAGTGGAAACAGGGGCTTCAAACTCAGAGCCAGGAGGAGGTGCCCAGGGCTGCATGGGCGTAGGGGCCGACAGGGAAGCCCACTGTGGATGGGCCATCTGCACGGATCCAGCTGCCTCCAGCTGGTGAGGGGAAGACGAGCCCTAGGAGGGGGGAGATGCCCTACAAGGCCTCCCGTGGCCACAACAAAGCACAGGAGTGTGGCACCTGTGGTGCGTGGCGGCAGAAGGCCCACATGGGAACTGCGCCCACCGCAGACACACCCCGCCAGGTGCGGCCAGGCCAGCCCAGCACATCCGGGCAGGAGACGGGAGGGGGACACGCGTCCGGAAGACCAGGTTACCCCAGACGGACTGTCACCGCTAGTGGATCAGACCAAGTCCTACACTGAGCTAGGTGAGTGTCGCTCCCCAACCCCTGGGCAGAGCCCCTGGGGGCGCTGCAGCCTCGGGCCTCAGACCCAGGGGCCCCGGCGGAGCTGAACAGCATCTCATTCGTGAGGAAAGGGTAGAATAGTGTTTCTAAATGCATAAAATAAAAACCAGGACTATAATAAATTGTATTGAATCTGTTATTAAAAAATTTTTTTTAATTATAACACAGTCAGGTTTGTGTTTCTTTGTTAATGTTCTGTATTTGGAGCGGGGCTCGATGACAGCATAATTATGAGGTGGTGATGAGTAGAAATGGTATTTTGAGATATTTACAACCACTGTGATGTGGTATGAAAATAATCAGTGATTTCTATTACTGTACCTCATTGTTCAATCTATACGGAAAGGAAAGAAAGTTACTGAGGGTTATCATAACTAAAACTGTCATATAATTCTTTTAGGCTCTTGAAATACTGCTCGAGACACAGTCCTCCTGTAACCCCTGGCTCAGATTCATACTAATGTGTAAATGATTGCCCGGACCCCTTCCTCAGAGTAGACAGGACAATGTGACAGTAGGTCTGAGCATAGGGGCACCGAGCACTAGGAAGGGGAACCACCCTAAGTAGGAGAAGACCCCCCTCGCAAAAGCAAACGTCGCCCTCATCGCCCAGGCCTGGCCGGGGGGAACCGCTGCCTGCAGCTGCCAAGCTTCCTGGAGGCCTGACCGTGCCCTCCAGAGTCCGCAAGGGGTATGGCTCTCTACGTGCTGAGGCCGCCTGGTTGCCGGTCCCGCTGAACTGACTTCCTTCGCCCTCTCCTCGAAGGAGGCCCCAGATCTAAAGGCGTCCAGGAAAGTGCTTTCAAAGATGCAGACACTAGCTCTGCCGTGGGCCCCTCGCGGGAGCGCCGACTACACAAGAAAATCTATGAGGGGAACGCGTCAGAGAAGGAGCCGGATTTAGGCTCGTTCTCTGTTGAGACGTGCGGAACGGGCCAGCCACTCCCCTTCCACGAGAACACAGTAAGGACAGCCAGGAAGAAGACGCGGTTCCGGGGAGTGAGGAGGGCAGTCGGGTCCCGGGAGGCGTGGGGAGCCCACACCCGGTGCACACGGCCCCCGCGAGGCTGAGGGAAAGCAGTAGGCCCAGGGCAGACACCCCGGACCCCTCGGGGCCTCCTCGTAGGGAGGCTCTCCTCACTCACCCCGCTCTAAGGCAGAGCTCGTGATCCAGAAACCATTCTAATTTCTGGGGCACCGGGGGGGCTCAGTCAGTTAATCCTCTGACTCTTGATTTTGGCTCAGGTCGTGATCTCCCGACTGTGCGAGGCCGCCTGGCTCCTGGTCCCACGGGGCGCCCCCCACAGAAGCCTCCACCCAGTGCCCACGGCGGAGGCTGGGCTCCCCTCCCCTCCACCTGGAAGGCGAGCCCAGGAGCGGCTGGTCTGTTTCTGGCTCTGCGGCCGTGCGCACTCACCACAGCAACACACAGGCCTCTTCTGGAAATCTCTTCTCTCCCTGCTCACAGCTATTCAAGGAGCCTCTATTCAGGCTGACAGTTAAAAGGCACTTATGAAATACCTTTCCCAACGTTAAACGTTCAGAGCTGGTTCCCTGAGACACACGCTAATTAGCTTAAACATTTAGCTGCAGGTGAAAAGGCCGTGAGTCCCCGTGCAAGGGGCACAGAAGTCACAGGCTTGGGACACGGAGGCCGCGGCCGTGGGCGAGGCGGCGTCTGCTCCACGGGTGACAGCCAGAACTCGGGAAACATTTAAAATAAAATGCTGTGAATTTCGAATTCCTAGAACCTTCCGGCAGGCTGAGGAGAGCAGGCGCCTGTGGCGAGAACCAGCAGGAGACGAGGGGCCCCCGGCACAGGGTTTCCAGGTCTGCATGGACGCGTTCACTTGCTGGTGTTCCGGGTGGGACTGGGTCCCCGTGCCCGATCTCCAGTTCTGGCCTTGCCGCCGGCGCGGGATGGCTGTCAGGAGCCCCGTGACCGAGGGCCACCCCGTCCCCTAAGATGTCAGCGTCGGGCAGCGTGGTGTGCACACCCCGCGGGGCTGAGCCGCTATCAAGGGGAGCCTCGGCTCCCACCCCGGAGGCTGGGGCTTAGCAAAGATGTAGAATAAATGATCTCCTGACTCGGAGGGAACGAGGGACTCCAGGACTCCGGCTACAAAACACAGCTTGGTGAGAAAGTGGGACTCTTGTTTTCCTACGAATTTTAGAAGCATCCCTTGGACAGACCACAATTATATGGACGTGGCCATTCTGTGGGCAAACTATGTCCACTTACAGGCAACCAGCGTTGAAGTACGTTGCAGCACGGCAGCCGCTGGGCACCCGCCATCACAGCTCGTGGCTCTTGCGTTAGGAGGGGCTGAGTGCCTCGTGGAAACCACGCTGGGGAGCAACGCTCCCAGCCGTGCACACTCACCACGACGAGAACCAGCCCAGAAATGCAGACCCGTGCGGACAATCGCACAGGTGACGGCAGGTCCAACAGCTCCGTCTCCCGTTACTCATCACGCGTCCACACACACCCTGACCCGGAACAAATAGAATGTCCCCGTTACTCACCCAGTTCTCCCTGACAGACGTCTGTGCGCGTGGCTCCACCAATGATAAACTGAGGCCTGGCACACAGCTCCTGAAAGCCAGGGGACCAAACACAAGTCACAGTCACGAGTCGCCCAGCACCGGAGGCAGCAAGGGCCACAGGGGCGTCACAGTCAGAGCTCGGCCAGTAAGGAGCCCAGGTCACCTGCAGAGGACACTGCAGCCTGGAGGAGGGGGGAGGCGGCCCGGGGGGCGGGGTGCAGAGCAGGGGTACAGAGTGGGGAGGGAGAGGGGGAGGCAGCCAGGGTGCAGAGCAGGGTAGGGAGTGGGGAGGCGGCCTGGGTGCAGAGCAAGGGTGTGGAGGGAGAAGGTGCCCAGGGTGCAGAGCAAGGGTGTGGAGGGAGGAGGCAGCCAGGGTGCAGAGCAGGGATGTGGAGGGAGGAGGCAGCCAGGGTACAGAGCAGGGATGCACGCAGGGGTGCAGGCAGGAGCCCGACCCTTGGTGTCACTGCACGGGCCGTGCCGAGCTGGGTGTGAAAGGCAGTGCAGGGCAAGGAGGGGTGAAAGGCAGAGGCCAAGGCAATACTGTGGTGGCTCGGGAGCTCACCTCTCAGGCAGCACCCCTACCTACAGAGAGGATTAGACAGCGTCCCCCCCCCCAGCTCAGCGCTGTGCACCTGCGGACACTCATTAACTGCCTGGCAGCGTGAAGGTGATGCGCGTGCTGAGCCAGGCTCTGCAGCGTGGGGAGTGACCCCAGACGACAGCCCTCGGTGGTGCACTTCCTGCGTTCACACCCGTCAGCGTGGCATCAGGCCTGAGTGCCACGGGCCTGGCGGGGTGTCCTTCCTTCCCCTTTACCCAGCAGGACCTGTCCGGGAGCCTGCTCCGTGCACAGCACTACTGCACTTGGCAGGCGGGCAGGAGGGGAAGGTGGGAGTGAAGAGAGAAATGACCCTGAGACTCAAGGTGCTTCCGGCCGACACGGGAAACCAGGACTGACCCTCACAGAAAAGTTGGAGAAAATCTGTGCTGTTCAACCCACTCCCACTCCCTCATCCGAGGCTCCGGTAAGCCCGCCAACTAAGTGATAGTATTACCCCTTTTGTGGATGACAAGACTGAGTGCCCGGGGGGGTCAGTATCTCACTCGTGGTCACCGGCCAGTAAATGGCACCAAGGAAACCAGAATCCTGATGTGCTGATGCCCAGACCCAGGCTCTTAGCAATGCTGCCTGAGCCCCAACCAGAGAAGGCTCCAGCAGCCTCCACGCCACATCTGTGTGTGACCGACACTAATAAACACGGCCGAATCGAAAATTCCAACTCCATTAGTCCAGAGGCAGCAGCGGGAGGGGGCGTGGTGGCCCAGGGGGAGGCGTGGCCACTCATCTGCACCCCAACCTCCCAAAGGCCATTCCCTCCACACCGCCTTGAGCTGGGCCGGCCACCCCCGGGTCCTCCCTACACAGCTGACATGACTCCTCACTCTCTGCCATTCTCCTCAGGACCCACGAACTGCCCCACAGCCAACAAATGGATGGAGAAGAACAGAGTCAAATGGGCTGCACATGCCGTGTGTCCCTTAGACCACAGATCTGGGTGCCACGGGGCCATCAGGATGTGGGGGCCCACAGGGAAGCCCCTGGTCTCACATGGCCACGTGGTGTCTGTTGTCCGTGTGCAACCCCAGCAGAGAAAACCTCGCCAGGATCGTGGATAGCCAAAGCTCATCCTGAGCTAACAAGCTGGGCCCCAAGATTTTCAATCTGGGCAAACTTGTCTTCAACCACCGGGACAAGAGCCCAAGCAGACCTTCTGCTCAGCAACTTAAAAATAGGCTAAACAAACAAACAAACAGAAAAAAAAAACAGGCAAAAACCCTGAAAGGGTCAGGATGCCAAATTTTATGATTTCAGAAAACATCTAAATAGCCAGCATCGTCTCCCATCAAGGGGGTGAAGGCATATATACATAGGTAGTTAGCCATCCACTAACTCCATCCGCTTCTCCTAAGGTCAGGTAAAAGTTAACACCTTGGTGGGAAGCAGGATCATTAGGGCCACAGCAGAGCGGCTGGGGTGAAGCCCCAGAGACTAATGGACTCAGGCGTCACCCTCAAAAGCAGCAAGTGAAACCAAAAAGCCAATAAGTCAATTTATGAGCTTATTGACTCATTGACAAATGAGCAAATGACTTGAACAGACATTTCCCCAAAGCGGACATCCAGGTGGCCAACGGACACATGCAAAGATGCTCAACATCGCTCATCAGGGAAACAAACCAAACCCCGGGGCGAGGTCACCTCATATATACTAGGACGGCCACTGTCAGAAAACAGAAAATAGCAGGTGCTGGTGAGGATGTGGAATAAGGGGAACCCTCGGGCACTGCTGCTGAGAATGGTGCAGACAGGTGCAGCCATTGTGGGAAATGTGAGGAAATTCCTCAAAAAGTTAAAAATAAAGCTACCCTACGACCCATTAATTGCACTTTTAGGTATTTACCCAAAGAATACAAAAGCACTCATTCACAGGGATCCATGCACTCCGATGCTTACTGCAGCATCACCTACAATAGCCAAGATACAGAAGCAATTCAAGCGTCCATGGACCAATGAATGGATAAAGAAGATGTGTGTATGTCAGTGGAATATTGCTTGGCGATGAAAAAGAAGGAAAACTTGCCATTTGGAACAACATGGATGAAACTAGAGTATATTATGCTAAGTGAAATTAGTCAGTCAGAAAGAAAAATACCATATGATTTCACTCGTATATAAAATTTAAGAAACAACAAGTGAACATAGAGGAAGAGAAGAAAAATAAGGTAAAAAATGAGAAGGAGGCAAACCCTAAGAGACTCTTAAATACAGAGGACAAACTGGGGTCGCTGGAGGGGAAGCGGGTGGGGGGATGGGCTAAACGTGTGATGGGCACTAAGGAGGACACTTGTTGGGGGGCGCCTGGGTGGCTCGGTCAGTTAAGCATCTGACTTCAGCACAAGTTATGATGTCAAAGTTTGTGAGTTCGAGCCCCACATCAGGCTCTGTGCTGACAGCTCAAAGCCTGGAGCCTGCTTTGGATTCTGTGTCTCCCTCTCTCTCTGCTCCTCCCCTGCTCACGCTCTGTTTCTCTGTCTCTTTTAAAAATAAATAAACATTTAAAAAAATTAACTAACTGGAATGTAAATTAAAACTTTAAGAGTAAAGAAACCTGGGGCACCTGGGTGGCTCAGTTGGACAACTCAGGTCACGACCTCATGGTTTGTGAGATCGAGCCCCCACATCAGGCTTTGTGCTGACAGTGCGGATCCTGCTTGGGATGCTCTCTCACTCCCTCCCTCTTTGACCTCTCCTGCTTGCTCGTGCGCTCTCTCTCTCTCTCAAAATAAATAAATATTTTTTAAAAATAAACTAGAAAAATACATTTTATTTCTTTAAAAATATTAAAAATAATATTACCATATGATCTAGAGATTCCACATCCGGGAAGACGCCCAAAAGAATCGAAAGCTCTGTCTCAAAGAGATTCTTGAACACCTGTGTTTGTAACAGCACGATCCACAATACCCTGAAGGTGGAAACAACCCGAATGTCCCTTGATTAAGGAATGAGTGAGAGAAGCATGACATATGCACCCAATGGAATAGTGCTCAGCCTCCAGAAGGAAGGACATTCTGACCCCTGCTACCACAGGGTGACCTAAACGGGTCATGGAGGACAGATACCATGTGGTGCCACATACGTGAGGTCCCTGGAGTAACCCAGTGGTCCTCGGAGCTGGGGTGGGGAATGAGGTGGGGCGGACAGTGCTTAATGAGGACACAGGCTCCGTTTTGCAGACTGCAAACTGTTTGGGGGGTGATGGTGTGCCTGCTGCGCACAAAAGTGTAAGAGCTCAGGGTGTGAATCTAGAGACAGTGGGACGGTAAGTTTCATGTTATGTGTATTTTATCACAATCAGAAGCAAGAAAAGGAAGGAAAGAGAGAAGGAGAGAAGGGGGAGGAAGAGGAAAATGAACCCACCCGTGCAGCTCGTGCTGGGACGCCCACCTTCTAGGGGCCCTGAGGTGTCCGGGGAGGGAGCCGGCATCTCGGACGGGCTGGTTTTCCCCGTTCCAGGGCACGCTCCCCAGAGTCAGGATCAGGGCCGTTTCTAACAGGAGTGTCTGTGTGACCGTCAGTGGGGTCTCAGAGGATAAACTGTGACCTGTGGTGTGCTGCACAGTGTGTGAGCACAGCCTCGCACAACCCGCATGTCTGCTCTACAGCGACTGTGTTTACTCGGACAGTGAGACCCAGTGAAGACACGGTTTAGGCAGAACAAAGTGGTCGGGGAGGTAAGAGCTTTGAGGATCTCAAAGAAAGGAGAAAAACTTGGCAAAGGCTAACTGATTCATGGCTTTGGTCTCCCAGCGAAACCCCTCCTCCCCATTCGTCCGTCCATGGGCCCTTTGAGGTCCCCAGCTCTGCTAGGGTGCCCCCTCCGGACACCCCGGGTCGCCTGGCTCAGGGTTTATGAACCCAGGCAGCGCCTCCGTCAGTCCCTGGTCACAGCTGGGACCACAGCTCACTCCTCAGGGTCTCCCCAACCACCTTCCCCAGCGCGGGGCTGACGCCTGGCCCAAAACACAGGCTCAAAAACCCGTCCTTGCAAGCAAAACGGCTGTCAGCTCTCGGAATAAGACTACAAACCCCGACTAGCCCCTCAGGTCTCAGGGGCGACGGAGGCGGGGCCGGGTTGGGCAGGAGCAAGCCCAGCGACAGGTTTCTCCAGCAGAAACTGGCCTACAAACTGGGCAGGAAGCAAACCGTGGGGCAGCGGGAGCCTGAGGGGGTTCTGACCCCGTCCACACGCCGTTCGTGCCTCACGCTGCACAGGAGGCAGCTACCACGCCTTGGCTTTCCTGTCGTGGGTGCCGGGCCGAGGGCCACCGTGCGTGGTCCCTTGTGACTTGCCTTATGTCAGACACGGGACGGAGCCCTTGTCTCAGCCCTCACCCTGGGGTGGGGGGGGTGGGGAGGCGGGGGAGAGCATCCTTCCATTTAGGTCCCTGAAGTAGGAGATCACAGCTTGGGTTTGGGGAGGATGGCTCAGCACCCTCCGCCCTGAAGCACCATTTCACAGATGAGAAAGGTGAGGTTATCTGCACACGGCCACACAGACAGAGCCAGGGCTCAGATCCAACGTGTCTGGTCCCAAAGCCCGTGTGAACTCTTCCCTCCACACCTCACTGCCTGTGAAAAAGTTGTGGGGGAGGGGTGGTGTTCTAAAATAGGGTACCCAGAACTTAGGGCCCATGGTTTCTCCCTCGACTACTTCCAACCAGGCGCGCGGACCCTCCATCCGTATGACCCTCAGCCACAAGCTGGCCTGCTTACCGGGGGCCGCTTCCAGACGACGCCTCGAGTCTGGGGGGAGTATGGACCCAGGTCCTGGTAGCCCAAGGCTGATGGACACGCTGGGAACTCAGGGTCCTCAAACAGGACCCCCAAGTCCAAGCACTGCCTCCTCAGGGTCTCAAAGTCCTGGCCCGAATACTTGACGCTTTCATGGTGGGAGCCACGACCTTGAGCTGCCGCCCGCTGCTTCAATACACTGGTCGCCAGTGCCGACATGGTTGTGGGCCCCGCGAGGGACAGGAGGGCAGAGCCGTGCCGCGCTCTCGGGCACCTGCCATGGGGAGGTGGGGCTGCCGTGAACCTTTATCCAGGGGCCTGCTCCCTGGGAAGTGAGTCACCGTGGAGCAAATATGTACCCAAGGTGCTAATGAATCTCACCCACCTTCCCCTTGAGCGTTTCAGCAAACGCTTAGAGGCTGGGAACCCTCCCTAGGAGATCTGCTAGCATCACAGCCACCCCCACCCTGGGCACGGCCTGGTCCCCTGCCCTTGGCCCTGAGGCCTGGCCCAGGTGGGAAGACCAGTCCTGTGGTCGAGTGTTTGCCGGGGCCCTGGGGGAGTGGCTCAGAGCAGGACCAGGGCGCGGGCTGGAGGGGCTCCTCTCCTCCCGGAGTTTGGTTCCTCATCTGCTGGGGGTCGGAAATGTCAGAGGGAGCCCGGCAAAGGCCACCCGACATGCAAAGGATGGTTGTGGTGGCCGCCCGGGTGTCTGCCCCATATCTGCCAGTAATTAGCTCGCCTTGAGCAAATTATTCAACCTCCTCCCCCTCAATTTTCTCATCTGTAAAATGGAAGATAATAGTGGGGCTGAGAATGTCACAAGATGGGGCATCACCAGATGAGGTGTGGGACTTGCTTAGAGGCACCCAGCAAGGGTCAGCTGTCGCTGTTCCTGGGGACATGGGGTCCAGGAAGGGAAGGGCCAGGAGTCACGGCTTCTCTGCTGAGAAAGGAAACATGACCTTGGGTTGGTCACTTTTTTCGTGGCTCCAGTTCCCTGGGCCTGGTCTTCCCTAAGGACGTGGACCTCGTCCGTGACCGTACTTTCACTGTTGAAGTGCAGTCGACGCCCACATTACGCTGGTTTCAGGCACACAAGAGGCTGACCTGACACCTCTCTGCGCCCCGCGGTGCTACCACGGTGGGTGAGGTCACCCTCTGCCACCCGACAGTCATCATGACGTTGTTGACTCCATTCCCCATGCTGCCTGTCCCTGAGGCGCACTCACAATCACTGGAAGCCTGCCTCCCTCCACCTCCGCACTGCTCCCCACCCCCTCCCTCCACCCCTGCACTGCTCCCCACCCCCCTCCCTCCACTCCCTCCCTCCACCCTTCCAGAGACCCCCCCACCCACCCACTCACACATCAGGGATTTTTTTAACATTATCGTGTGTGGCAGCCTGGAGAATGGTCCCCAAAGGCCTGGAGACGGAATCCCTGGGACCTGTGAGCAGCACCTTATTTGGAAAAGGATCTTTGCAGATAAGATTACGTTAAGGCTCTTGAAATGGGGAGATTATCCTGGCCCTAAATGCAATCATGAGTGTCCTCAAGGACCCAGCAGAGGCAGACATGTCAAGAACAGAAAGGAGGGGATGCATCCACAGGGATGGAAGCTGGAGCGTCGCAGCCACAGGCCACGGATGCCACGAGCCCTTGAGCTGGGGGAGCTGGGAACAGACCCCTGGGGCAGCCAGGAACAGACTGCTGGGGCCTCTGCAGGCATGTGGCCTTGGCTGCAGCCACAGGGAAACAGAATGTGGATTTGCGGCCTCCAGAACTGTGGCCGAATGGGGTTCTGTTGTTCTAAAGCCACCACACTCGTGGTCATGGCTAACAGCAGCCCCGGAAACCACGCGGTGAGTGCAAGATACCCCCGGAACACCAGGCTCCAAATGCGGCCTCCCAGAGGCCCTGCCACCACCACCCTCCCCTCCCCACCCCTCTCCCCTCCCCACCCCTCTCCCCTCCCTACTTCTCTCCCCTCCCCACCCCCCTCCAAAGTAGTTCTGAGTCAGAGAGTCTGAGGCGGGACCCGGGTTGGCAGATACGGTGCCAACGCAGGGGCCGGGGACCACACTCTGGCAGCTCTGGGCCAACGGACCTCTGCAGTGTCCAGTCCTGACTTCTGAGCTGGGACGGTCTGTGCACTAAGCTCTCAGTGAGGCGGGCAGGCCTGGGCAAGCGGCCCGGTGCCCACAGTAAGGCCGAGTTTGTCCGGCCTCCCCAGGAAGACTGGGCTGCGGCCCAGGCCCCTCGGGGGCCCTGCCTTCACTGCTGGACACCCACTTTCCCTGGATTTGCCACCGGCCCATTCTCCTCCCCCGACGGTGACCCTGCTCTCTCCCGGTGGCCCATCCTGCAGAACCAGGACCGCAGCTCCGTTCAGTCAACACGGAACCTTGCAGCGTACATCGGGCTGCAGGAGAATCCAGCAAGTCTCTCTGGGAAAGGAAGGGAAATATGCATTTTCAGCTTTGAATCTACAGCCAAGTATCCAAAGCCGAGACTGACCTGAGCTCTCACTTCAAACACAAACTGGCCTTGCTGCTCAGAGCTAAAGCCCCAGGGGCTGCCCGCTGCCCTCAGGGGAGCAAGGCAGGAGGGGTCCCCATGGCCTCCTGGATGAGCAGACTGGCCTTCCCTTCCCCTCCCCACCTACTGGCTGTCCTTTGGTGCGGGAATGTGGGCCCCAGGGCTGTGCACCTGCTGTGCTCATCCTTCCGACCCTAGAGTCCCGGAACAGGCTTTCCCGGGGGCCTCTACCTGCCCCCTCTGCTGGCGGTGCCATGTGGTTGGAGCGCACAAAGCCCCCGGGGCAAGTCCCCTCACCGACCTCCTGAGCAGACAGCGAGCGTGTCTGTGACCCAGTGGATGCCTGGAGGAAGCAGCCTGTTTCCAGGGACAGATATCCCCACAGCCTTGTGCTCCAGACCCCACAACACCCCCGCCAGCTGCCTTCCACGGAGCCCGGGTCCCTTACGGAAGCTGGGGACACCAGGCAAGGTTGTCACACGGCACCTGAGTCACGCAGGTCCCCTTGTCCGGCTTTGCTGACCAGAGTGTGAGGTGGTGCGGACTCAGGGAAACAGTCTGCAGGCCATCTAGATGCCACACGGTGACTCCACATACCCTCCACTGCAGGGAACTGGAAACAGGTCCACACAAAGATGTGCACCCAAACACTCTTGACCGCACTGTTCACAGTAGCCCTCAGGGACCATGAGGAAGGGCACGGCCCCAGTCCCATTGATGGAGGGGTCGGTAGGCAGCCCGGAGAGGCAAGCGACAGAAGGCCGTAAAAGGGAAGGAGGTACGACACATGCTACAACATGCGTGACCCTGAAAACAGGGCCACGTGAGGGGGCCGGTCCCTAAAGGCCACAGAACGTGTGGTTCCAGTTATGAGAAACTCCCGGAATGGGCAGATCCACAGGAATGGAGCAAAGATGACTGGAGCCCGGGATTCGCGGGAGAGGGGCATCGGGACAGGGGCTTCCTTTCGGTGGGGGTTTCCTGGGACTAGATGTCGGTGACGGGTGCACAGCACAGAGTGCAAGAATCACAGAATTGTGTGTTTTCACATGGCGAGTTTCGTTTCAGGTGAATTTCGTCTCGATAGAAAATTTAAAAGGAAAGAAAACAGTAGGGCAGAGAAGACACGATGTAATCCACGTGTTCGCTACCTGTCTCGGTGGAAGGACTGGCCCCATCCGCTGGCACAGCAAGGGTCCCAGGGGGAGACCAAGCCTGTCCCACCAGCCTCAGGAGGCAGAAGGGGGGGTCCGGAGCGCAGGCCAGTCCCTCTCCCACCCTGTGGGATCACTCACCACCCCAGGGCCCCACCCCTGCTGACATGCCCTCCAGTGGCCAACTAGATCCTGCTGACCCAGCATGACCAAGGGATTAAAAGGTCAAGTTGACGTGGCCCCTGCAGGTCCACGGTGGATCAGAGACCCACAGAAGGTCTACAGGTAGATGGTCACTTCGTGGCAGACATGACCCCAGGTCTTCTGATTTCCAGTTCCACGTTCCTGCCCCAACACAGGACCTGCCCTGCCTGCTGGAAGGGAGCCCTGACCTGGGCAGAGGTGGACACAGGGTAGACAGGTGAAAGGACAGACAAATGCCTGTCCTGCCCGAGGAATGTGGGTGCTGTGGGAGAGACAGAGCAACCCCCAGAGACAGGAGGGGCCTTGCGGCTGGACCCTGAAGAACGGGAGACTTGGATGGCACTGAGGGTCCTGACAGAGGCCATAACGGGGGGCATTCTGGACCTGAGGGCAGCACATGCAATGTCCGGAGTGGCTGCAGCAGCAGGGGGACCGGAAGGAAGGCGCAGTTGGGAGTCAGCTGCTGGAAACCAGACAAGAGCTGATGGCAACCACGTGGGCCAGTGGCAGGGGCTGGGCCGGCGGGGAACCCCAACCTGGCCTGTTCAGAGATGAGGCCACGGGAGACAGGAGTCCAGTACATGTGAAGTCTGTTACGTTAACCACACAGAGCACCACATGTGACCTGGGCGCTGCTTGCGCATTCTCTGAGGTGGTTGTGTTGTCACTGCATCACGGTGTCACACGCTCCCTGCACTCGGAGCCCGCTGCCTGTGGCCATGGGCGCCCTACATTGTCTGGCTTCTTCTTGGCTGGACTTTTTTCTTCAGCGTCTCCTGTTTCTAACCTGTGCTGCCCTGCACCCCACCCCTGTCCTTCCCTCTCTCGTTACAACACAGAATGCAGTTTGGCCAGAGAGGGGCGACCCTCACAGAGCCGAGTCCTCTCTTCCCACCACTCAGTCACATGCTCCACGAAGGCCATCGGCCAGTGGTCCTCGTCACCTTCATGTTGCCAAACCAGTGGCTACTCCTCACCTCCATCTCACTGGATACAGGTCAACGCTCTGTCCTTCTAGAAACAGAGAGGAAGAAAACCTGCATGAGGGTGTCCCTGAGTTCAGACCCAGAGCCCGAGGCAGGGAGGCTGATCTTCCTGGGAGCATGCACGGTCCGTCCCTTCACAGGAGAGAAGGCAGGCATGCCTGTGAGGGCAGACAGGGGGGCCCTGGGAAGTTCTTTTCAGGTGGCTGTAACGTTTACTCTTGGACATAGGAGAGGAGGACATTACGTGAGAGACACAGGAGACGGGTAGTGTGGTCACCAGGAAGTGAATGAGCCCAGCCGAGTTACCGATCACCATGGAAAAGTGAGACAAATCA